TATATATATATATATATATATATATATATATATATATATATATATGAGAGCAAGAATGGAGGAGAAACGGACCGTCTTGCCCACAGCTGTTAGGTGAAGAGGGCTGACACATCTCTGCATGACCACACCGGCACTCTCCTGCATGGCTGTTGCGCGTGTCTCTCTATCTTTTTCTTTGGGTTTCTTCTCTACCACGAAGCTACACACACACAAAGAAAAAAAAAAAGGAAAACGAAAAAAAAGGCAACAACAACAACAAAAAAACAACAACAACGCGTAAATAATTGCACGTTTGCGAGACGAGATGCTACGACGAGGGTTTGCTAGCATGAAACAGGCCTCGACAACAACCCTCTTTATGAGCTGTGGCACATTGTACTTCAGGCAAAAAGGGGTGTATGAGCCAATAGGCGGCAGTGAGAGTGTGGGCCAGTACACGATATCCATTGAGGCCGATGAAAAGGAGAGCCCTTCTAGACGGTATGCGATTGTCGTGTACGAGGAAGACGAGGAGGTGCTGCGACAGTACATCGGCAATGGGCTCACTCTTGCGTACTCTTCAGTCTCTGTGCACTGGCCCGCTTCTATTGACGGTGTAATGCAATACATTGCGTTCCTGTTTGCGGATGATGAGCCGAAAGTGAAGGCTGCTCAGCAGCTAGAAAAATTTGTTTTGCTGTACAATCGTTGCACCTACGCCCTCCTGACGGAAACCTCCGTTGACAGCACCATCTCAGACGATGAGGAATACAACTTTCTTTCGAACATTGCGATCTCGCGGTTGCCTGAAGACACGTATGAGGAGCCCATGTATGAGCTGGACGTGTCACATGAATGTGCAAACCCCACTGGCAGGGGCAATGTGTGCTACGCAGAATCAAGACGATTTAACAGGGCACTTGTGATGCGTAAGGAGCGGAATAAGATTGAATTTCAGGCGCATGCTATTGGTGCAGATGGCTTTGAAGAGAAAGCTCCAGAAAAGTTTAAGTTGAATAATATTTCTACGTGTGACAGTGCATTGCTGGACGACACAGAGAAGAAGATGTTGCTTCTCAGTGTGGATGAGAAGCGACTCCATGAGGTGGACATGGAATACGGCAAAGTTGTGCAGGACTATGAACTGCCTGTCTCTGTGCGCTCGGTGACACACAGCGCCCACGTGGCTGGGCCGCAGCCTGTTTATACCTGTCTTGCGGACAACGTCGCATTCAACTTCGACTTGCGTATGGACCCGCGGAATAACGTTGTGATGGAGGCTGGGAAGACGCTGTTGGATTACAAACTGTCCATCAAAAAACCATTTACGTGTCATGCAACTTCTGCTGCGGGCCATCTTGTCATTGGCGATACTGCAGGAGCCATTCGCCTGTACACTGGACCTCCTGGGAGCCGCCGACCGGATGGAAAGTACAACCCGAAGTCAGCAAAGACGCTATTAGAAACAAAAGTACCGATTATCTCTGTGGACGTAACAGCAGACGGGAAGTACGTGCTAGCTGTGTGTTCCAAGTACCTGCTACTTATGCGAACGGTGTACATGGATGATGACAGTACAACGAAAAATGGATTCTTGTCGCGAATGGGCAAGAAAAAACCCACTCCATTGAGACTTCAGCCAACCCCTCAGCAGCTAGACGCAATTGGGGGAATTGACGATCTGAATTTCACTTCTGGTGGATTTGACCGGTTTGAGGAAGGTTGTGAGACCTGCATCACAGCTTGCAGCCATGAATATGTCTTTACGTGGAGTTTTGAGGCGGCGAAACGGGCAGTGGAGGACGGTCGCGCATGCGTTGGAGAGACTGCATTGGTCAAACGCGAGGTTCTCGCCGTTTCTGCGGCGGTGCCGGACAAGGTAATGTATATGACGGACCGGGACATTCGCATTGCACCGCTGAGACGGCAGGAGCGGGTGGAAAAAGGTACTAAAGAATATCGGTACGTGTGAGGTTTTTGTTTTTGTTTTTACTGTTTTGATAATGTGCCTTTGGGCAAATTTAGGTTTTTGTCTTCTCGAGACGTGAATTTTGAAAAGAATGCGGAGCGAGTGGACACCAAGGTTTTTTTTTTTTTTTGTTTGCATCACGAGCATCTTCCTGTCGCTAGATTGTTTGGCGCCATTTCCTGCGAATGCGTATATGTGTTATTGTTGCTGGGTCGAGGGATTCATCAAGGCATTTTTCTCTGCTCTGACGCACTCGGCCCTGCGGACTGCTGCCCGTTTTTCGGCTTATCGGGGCGGGTGTGATGAGGGCGGGGACTCTACGAGTTGCTCACCCACAGTAATCGGACGCGGGAACACAGTTTCCCTCCTCCCTGAATTGTTGTAGACATGACCGTTGCCTCCTTGCCTTTCTAGGAATAGATGTACATACATATATGTATGTATGCATATATGTGTATATATATATGTTTATTTGTTTCTCTCAACACATGTAGTTCGGGGTTTGGGTAATATTATTTGTGTGCTTCCCTGAAACCAGATTTCCTGCAGCAGTGAAAGCAACAGACTGCTGTTGGACGTTGTGTGAATGCATGCTGATGGGAGGAAGAATGATTTCCTGTGCGTCTCTCTCTGTGACCGTGGATGGGTGAGCGAACATATATATATATATATACGTATTATTATTACTATTTTGTTTGTCCCTGCCACGTTTTTTTTTGTTTGCTTCTGATGTTTTTATTTCTTTGTCTGTGGGTGTGTTGTCGTGTTTTCCCTTGAGTGACGCTGCTATGCATGCAGCTTTGTTGCTGCTCTCATACTCTTCTTTTTCCGGGTTGCCCTTATCACAGGAAGGAGCCACGTCGCGGGCACGCACAAGAAACTGATTTGGCTGTTACGACTGGGTGTTTGCTGCTTTTGTGTGTTTCCCGTTTGAGTTTGCATATTCGTAGAGTTTTTGCCCCCTTTTTTTTTGTCAATCGCACTGCATTGGTGTGCCTCTGGGTGAGGCAGTCAACTACCAACGATGTCATCGATTGCTGGCGACGCGGACGGACTTCCATTTGTGGGCCACACCCTCAGTACCGCCGAGCGTGCGGCGCTGCAGTCATCCATCCCACTGTTGTCTTCGCGGTATGAGACACCCGTGCGTTTCTGGGGCAAGATCCTTGGCTACAAGGGAGACTATCTCGTGGCGCAGGCTATGCCGGACGGGGTGTTTGGCAAGCGCTTCAGCTTCTTCAGCGTGGACGGTGGCTCCTCGTGGCGTCTGCTAGACCCCATCACCGAGGAAGAGGCGGAGTTCTGCGACCAACTACGCGGTATTTACATGGGTAATCCGACGTTTATGTATAAAGTGCGGCGTGATATTCCACCCGAGCCTGAGCCGACTGTGGCGGTGCCTGACGCAGATGCGGCGTTGACGGCGGCACGTGAGAAGTACGGCGCCGCTGAGGAGGGAGGGGTTGATGGGGAGGTGGGGGAGGAGGAGGAGGAAGAAGAAGAGGACAACGGCGAAGAGGAGAACGAGGAGGATGAGGAAGAAGACGAAGAGCAGCATGTGGAGCAACCAAAGAAGAAGCGACCAAAGTTCATGATTCTTGCCGTGCCCGAGACAGTTCGACTGGCGCATTTTATTCAGTTGCATGATGCGGCATGCGCGCTTGTTGTACGGGGGCAGTATGTGTTTACGCCGAGTGGTAGCGGGGTCTCAAAGAATGCAATGTTTGCTGGCCAACCTGTGCGCCATGCGATTAAGCCGTCGTGTTATTTGCGTGTCTTTCATCCTGGCAAGGAAGAGCGGAATCGCATCTTGTATGGCCCAACCTACAGCAGTGTGACGGACCGGCTTTCGCCCATCACCGATGACGAGCCGCAGGGTGTGTGGGTGGTGAAGTATGATCCTACTGCGAGCATGGTCACGGTGCAGAATTTATTCTTTAGCGGATCACTCTTTTGGTACCACCCTGGTACAAGTGACTCAGGTCAGGTGTACTTCGGAAACGGCGAGCGCGACTTTGAGGTTTGTTTTCTTCTTTAGAAGCCGAGGAGGACGAAAAAGAAAAAAAAAGTGGTCAAAAAGCGGGGAGTTGCATTTACGCGTGTGAGAAGAAGGGCAATGAAGGTGGTGTTGGAGGCCAAGTCAGCGGAACGCCATTCTTCCGTTTTTTTTTTTTCGTTTTGTGTGTGTGTGTGTGTGTGTGCTTCTCTCACGACCCTGTGGGTTCCCGTTTCTTTGGTCATCCTCGCGTGGGCACGGCCCGGTAAAAGATGTATCATGCAGTATCAGACAAGCACCGTTCAAGCGGAGTGTGACTGTTTTCTTTTTTACTTCTTCTTATACTGCCTTTTTCTTCCTTATTCCATGAGGCGGGGGTATTTGTTTGGGCTTGTCTGTGAAGCAACTGACAAGAACAAGAAGATAAAGTAAGCAGAAAAAGAACTATTGACCTCCGTTTTTTTCTGGTTGGCGTTTATGTGACATCGTCCACCACCAAGGTGTGATGTGGCTCTGTAATATGTGCCTCCACACTTATATATATATATGCACTTTTACGTATCAGATTTTTTACTTCTGTGCTGGCGTCTGTCTCTCTTGCTGCGTACGCAATGTAAAGTGACCCTCTCTGTGCAAATCTCCACGTCTCTCTCACTCGCTTTCTGAGTGTGTGTGTGTGGGAGGGGTCGTTTTTTTTTGTTTGTTTGTTTGGTGTTGCCCCTGCTTCTTATTGCTTCTGTTGTTGTTGTTCTCTCTCTCTCGTCTCTCATCTCTCGTCTCTGTGCTTCTATCTTGAAGCTGTTTAAAAGAGGGAGAAAGAAGCGAAGGGGAGGAGGCTTCCACAGGCCAGGGGATCACTCACGGCAGGTAGGTCAAGGAGGTGACGTGCGAGCAACAGCGATAGTACCCCCAGTCACCAATAACTATAACAGCAACAACGGGAAGAATATTCTCTTCTTCATTGCCTTCTATCTCTCTCCACATATCTTCTTACGTGTGTGTGTGTGCTGAAGAAGAGGGATAAGTTTTTTTAAAAAGTCTGCGAGTTCGAGTGCGTTAGTGTTTGCGTCTCTTTGGACCGGAAAAGGAAGTTTCGGGTGTTGTTCTTGTTTTTTTTCCCTTTTGGTTTCCCAGCGTGTGCGTGTGATCTACTTTTGCTTCGTGTTGTGCCCTGCGGCAAAAGAAAATTGTGTGAAAGGTGTGACGTGAGCTGACAGGCGCGGCGAGGAACGTCCAGAGCCACTGTGGGAAGTGTGTTTTTTTTAAGTTGTTGTTTGTTTGGGGCGGTGCCATCGAGGGGAGGTGCGACGCCGCACACGCAGACAGGCAGCAGTGCCGTGTGGAGAGTCACCGCGGCGAAGCGGAGCGACTTCGACGGACGAGGTACGCGGGGGCCGTGTAGGCTCTGTGCACGCGAAAGCAGAAGAAGGGGGAGGTGGGGGAGGAAGGAGAAGAGAAGACAAGACACGGACGCCTTGGGGTGGAGAGAGGAGGCGTGATAACACTAAGCGAAGGTAACCGTAAATATAATTTAAGTCTAACCCTAAATAATCACCAGACAAATACAAATACGACGAAGAAAGAAAGAAAAATAAAACAAGGACAAAAAGGAGGGAAAGTACGAGGGCGTGGGTGAGAATCGAGAGGCAGGACTTTGACTCCGCCCCGAAGCTCTTGACATTTGAGCAGTTGGGTGAGGACATGGTGCCCGGGACTCGAGGACCCGGAGTAGAGCCAAGGATTGAACCCACGGATGCCAATGAGAAAGGAAAAACAACCATAACCTCAGGAAGAACGCGGGTCTTTTATCAAGATCCATTACTGCCGTACTCACTCCAGTGCATTCACCCACGCCTACGCGATGCAGTGGAGGCGCAGGACCGCGCGGCGCTTCTCCGAGGCGCCCAGCTGCTGGTGCAGCACGGGACACCAGAAGATGTGGCACGTCGAATCGCACTTGGAGTGCGGGAAGGCAACTCCACCGCGGAACATGCCTCCGTGCAGGAGCGTGGTGAGTTCGAGGCAGACATTCTACTTGAGCCCGCCTTTGTATCTCCTAGCTTGGAGTATGCTTCTTTTTATGACGCGGATGATGAACTTCAGCGGCGGTGTCACTACTTCCTCCTAACATTTACAGGCCCTCATGAGGCGTACAACGTTCCATACGATGTCCAGCGTCGTGTTGTGCCGCTTTTGTACGCATGGATTACCAATTGGGATTTTCTCAGGCGCAACACGGATTGCTGGGGAAGTGTGGCTGAATGCTTCTGTCGCGTGGTCCGGTCTCGTCGGCGACGGTTTTCAGTGCGCCCGGACTTTGCACTTCCGTGGCGGCCACTTGTTGAGATTTTGATGTCACTTTTCTTTCAGTTCGATGTGGTGGACCTTGACGTTTTTCAGGCCATGCGAAAGGTGGCTGGGTGCCACTTGGAGGAGCTTTGCGCCTTAGCAGCATTGCACTTTGACGCAGACGCATTTCAGGGTCTATGGGAGACCTTCGCACCGTACTTTTGTGAAGATCGAGAGGAGGCACCGATGATGCTGTGCTTTCTTTACCATCTTGTCCCTATTCACCACCTTACGGATGATGCAACGGGGGAACCGCTGCCACTCACAGAGCGTCTTGTAAAGTTTCTGCTTGATGACGCGCTTTACTGGCAGCAGCGTTCCGGGAACTGGATGGTGTACTCGCTCAAAATTTTATTTAAAATGTCTCTTCATCATGTGGGTGTGATGGACTTTGACAAGTACGCGGAACCGCTGTTCTCCACAATGCTGTATGACCTGCACCTTCCCATCGCGGAGGGCATGAGAATGCCTGCGAAGGCGGGTGGATTTGGTGTGCTTAGTCAAATTTCTCTTTTCAACATTGGGGAGAACGAAATGTCTATGGCCAAGGGCTGCGTTGGAAACATGCTTCCGCGTCGCACAGACTCACCACTGTGGAACCATTTGCGACGCTTCATTCATGCCACTAGTGTGTTTCTGCGTCCAAATGCTACGGATACAACCGTTTTGCACCGCGTCTTTGCCTTTTATAGCAGTCTCGTGGCCATCATTCATCGCAGAATGAAAAGACAGGGAAGCTACACTTTTATGCGGACCAAGTACCCAACCCGAATTGAGGGTCGACGCATTTTAGAAGCATACTTGTGGGACCGAGATACCATTGATTGTTTTGTTGGGCTTGTGATGCCTGTGTTGCGTCTAGCCTTGCACCATCGTCTTGACGATGTTGCACGCATTGTCGGCCTTCTCGCCTCCCTTTCACCTCACACCGTACAACAGCTTGTTCTGCCGTATGTCAACGCAGGACTACGAGGCCATGTCGGGTCCTCGGCGCAACGTTCTTTGGCGTTGGAACTTTTGACAAAATCTCTTTTTCCACTCAGTGAATGTCCTGCCACTCGTGATGAGTGCTGGATTTTTCTTGCCGAAGTTTTGCCATTGTTGCTGCAGTGGGTGAGCCCCGGGGAGCTACCACTTTCAAAGTTGATCTTGAACCTTATCTTCCTCACATGCTGCATGACAAAACTACGTGATTTATTAGGAGGACAAGATGCGGAGTGTTCCTTTGCCGTCACTCTTATCGAACGCCTATTTGCCTGTGCGTCCCATGTGAAATTCGGGAAGGGACACGAGTTTGATCTTCTTATACATGCCATGAATGCCCTCTCTCTTAATGTGAGCGACGAGACACTTTCTTGCTGCATCTCTAGAGTATTGAAGGAGGCGGATTCTCAAGATTGCGTGTCCAAGGCGCATGCTGTAAGTTGTTTGCTGGAACCCATTGCCCGCCGCGCCCCTGAACGTATGCTGCGTTGGGCCATCCAGAGTTTTGCGCCACCCCTGCAGAATGCGTCCACACCATTTTGCGAGGTGCAGTGGTGTGCACATCTACTTGCTGGGTGCATACGTGGCGCGGGGCTTGCAGGATTCTCGCACCGGCATGAAATTTTGCGTTGTATTCAGTGTCAGGTGTCATTTATCACGAGCAAGGAACAACTTTTGGCGGCAGCTGCCCTGTATACTGCTATGTTTTCCGCTTTTACAGAAAATGTATGTATAGAAGCGAAGGCTGAGGAGGCTTCTGTTTTGAGAACCGATGACTTGCATGCACAGGACGTGGATGACATGGTCGAGGACAACGATCAAGACTCTTATGAGATGAGTATGTGCTTCTGTCGAAGCACCACGGTGCAGATGACGTGGAGGGAGCCCTCGGAGGTGCATCTTGCCTACGTGGTCGATGTGTATAACCGGTTTATTCAGGATATCGTGGACACTATTCATAACATTGAGTATGTGCTGCCGCCCGACGCGGCTGAAAGGAGTGGCGGACTAAAAAGTCTTTTTCACTTCGCGAGTGAAAATGCAACTCTGGCAACCAGCCATGATGATGCGGGGAACGTGAGAGCTGCCACATCCATGGCAGCGCCTGTGGGGGCGGACAGTGAGGCCTTTACCCCCAAAAATGTCCTGCGAGGGGTTTTACTTTGGCTGTGTGTTGTGCTTGAGATTAACCAGGAGTGCCACAGCCGTGTTTGCGGTGCCGGCGCCGATGCCCCCAACATGGTGCCGTGGTGGTTGCAGGATCCAAAATCTACTCTGCCGTTGCTGCCTCCCGCTTTGGTTCCCCCCTCTCTCTCCCTTCTGCCGGAGCGGATACACGGTCTTCTGATGGAGTACATGCTTCGACGCATGTCTGGCGATATGTCGGAGGGAGGCATCATTGCCAAGGCACTTCATTTAGACCGTAGCCTTGTGGTGCGAGGAAAGCCCCCGCTGGACCCCACACACACGCACGAAACGGACCCCCGTGGGCTTCATTTGGTGTTGACCGTTTTGGCGGAGCTGTGCAACATCCCCCCCATGACACCTCTGCAGTACGACCACTACCGCATCTACAATAGAGGTCCAGAGATATTTGGAAACAGTGTTGTGGAAACCTTGAAGGAGCGGCGCTATTTACCTGCCTTGTTCTGGCGCATGAAGGCAGAATCGTATATGTACAAACGCAGTTTGTCTTTGCTACACACCGTGTCACCGAAACGGCTTACGGAGCTGATTTCGGTTGCCCACACGCTTCTTTTCTCACCGCATACGTTAATTCAGGGTATTTGCTCCCAAATTTTGAGAGAATGTCTACCGATGTTGAGTTGCGCAGCGACGCGTCAATTCCTCTCTCAACACCTTTCGATGCTTGAGCACATTGCAGAGCTGTGGGCTAAACAAGGCGATGCTGTTTGCCAGCTTCTGCCCCATCCTGTTTCAGATCTCACCGTGAAGGCCACCACGATTTCTTCTACTTCCAAGGTGGACAAAGGGGGTGTGGAAGCGGATGCCCCTGTCGTGAGCCCGGTTGAAGGACGGGCGAACCCACTCAAAGTCTCTGGAGACGATATTGCCCACAACTGTGGTGTCAGAAACGACACACTCAATGGCGAGTATGAAGACAACGATGAGGATGCTTTTGCTGTGGTTAATGATGGTGACGACTACAATAGCGAGGATATAAATGGGGTGAGAACGCCCTGTTTGTCGTATCTGCGGCGAATACTCTCCAGTGCCATCCCGCTTGCCTCAACGGGTTTTGACAGCTCCTGCTTTTTCAACGACGAAGAATTGATTTATCGCACTTACGAGGTGCTTCTGCAGCTTCCGGATCAACTTGTTGTAAGGCGGAGCAACTCCCGTGTTATGCCACGAAATTCCTATGAGTTCGGTGGTCTTTCCACGATGGAAGGCCTCCCTGTGGCGCGACTGTGCGATAAACTTCTTTTACTCGCACTACGCTTTGCCCACAAGGCACCAGACCGGACCGTTGACTGTCTGTTGAAGGTTATTGCCCTTTACCGGCCATCACAAATTGCCCTACTATCCCCTCAAAGTGTATCAATCATATTTCGCCTCGCAGTGAACAGCCATAACTACACACGTATAACGTCACTTCACATTCTGCATACGCTTGTGCTGTCACTGCGAGAGCCGCATCCAAAGGCATATACCTTGACTCGACGCGGTCCTTTGGAGTCCAGTGAGAATGTGGCCTTTTTTCGTTCCCGCTACGACGTGCTGAAGCGTGAGTGTCCTTCCTTTTACGGATTACGTGATGTGGGGTTGGCCTTTGTGCCAAAAGCCATACGCGTTGACGCGGAGTATGTACATCCCGACATGTTTCATGATGGCGAGGCGGTTACGGTTCCTGCGGAAACTGTCGAGCTTCGTAAGGCATACACAGTGAGAATAAAGGAGGATCTTACAAATTCAGTCCAGGCAAATATAAAACAGCAAGAGCAACGTCTTGTACGAGAAGAGCTGAAGCGGGTAATTGGCCATCTTTCTGGTATTCTCGATTATGAACTTAACCCTCCCACCGCTAAAGAACCGAATATGGAGGATACTGCAGAGACGAAATTGCGGGGTGGGTGGATATGGAAGGTGATGCAGTTACGCCATAATCAGAAGACCTTTTCAGATTGTCGGATGCGTGTATGGAAAGCCATGGGAAAACTCTTGGGAGTGGAGCCATCGGTGCGTCTTTTTACGCGTTTGGCACGTTTGCAGCTAAATGACTTTGTGGAACTGGCACGTGGTGGTGGTTCCACGGCAAAGGAAAGTCACCAGTGGTTGTTTTCCTGCGTGTTTGATCTTTTGGTGGCCGCTATTCGCATCTCCAAACGAGACCCTGCTATACGGCAGGAGGCTCTTACGTGCTATATGGACGCGTTGCGACTGGTGTGTACCAGTAGTTTGGTGCCGCATGATGTTTTGGTTTCCTTTTTGCGGAGTGTTGCGGCATTGCGTGAGGCACTCAAGGCGCATGAGGTCTGGTTGATTTACGAGTTTCTCTTTGCGGCGTTGATGCCCTCCTCGAACGTTGCACTGACGAAAGATCCACCTGCGTCAGAGAATGACACGGAGACGCTTCCGCGGTCCTCGACTCCCTGGTGCTCTGGGATGACGCAAGAGGTTATGCGGGTATTGAGCATTATGATGCACCTAATGGGTGTGTTTGCACAAGAGACGAATGTAGAGCTTTTGCCACGGCTATGTGAACAGGTGTTACGTCACAAGAAAATATTTCTTTACAATCCTTCCTCTTGTATTCAAGGATGGGCTGCTTGTGTGATTTCAGAAATCATGCGCCTTTCCTTGTGTAATAGTGAGTATATCCCTTCAAATGCCGGTGTCCTGAATGAACTCGTACGGTTTCTAGATAGTCTAGAGCGGTTGGTAGAACTTCCACCACCGCCCCTACCGGAGCCACAACCAACACTAGCACCATGGAGTGAAACACCTGCATTGAGTGCAGCCCCACCTCCATTTGTATCCCAGTGTTCTGTGGTCATTGGAGCGCCACCGGAGTTACCGATGGAGTCATCACTGCCTCTGATTGAGAGTGTTAGTCTTGACTCTGGTCGGTGCACGATGCCGGATGAAAAAATTGCAACCGTGAAGACATTTACTGCGTATTGGGCTAGACCGGCCCCACCTCTACTAAACCTGCGTGCACAGAAGGTCCTCTATGTTCTTGTGCGTGCACTAGACATCGCCTTGCCGGAGGTTGATGGACTGAGTCTTCAGTTGGAGTCTGCACTGCAAAGCATTGCTCATGTCCGTCTGCCGAAAAACACGATTCATGATATGCTGCAGATGTTGTGTAGCATCCTCAAGGAGGAAAAACCATACGGTAAGTCGCGTCAGGCCAAAGTTGCCATTAGCCGCATGCTGTGCCGTGTTCTCTTTAACAATCTCCATCGTATTGGTAAGTTTGCCTCCATGCAGAATGTTGCAGCAGCGGCCTTGGCATCTATCGGCCACGGCGATGGTCGCGTTCGAAGCGAGGGGCGGCTGCTTTTGGCAGTTCTCTCACGAGTGGCGTCTGTGGAGCAGATTGAGCAGATTATTCGTGATTACTTTCAGGAGCTGCGAGTCTTTCCGTCAGTGACGTCTATGACTGATGGCCACTACCAGGTACCGTCGTCCACGCAACATGATAATTTTCGCAAGCGCCGACGCATTGCGTTGCTGCTCGCGTTGTGTGCGATTTTATCCGCCACGCCGGGCGTCGTGCTGCCATATGTACCACGCCTGATGGAGCGCCTGTCCGCCTACGCAAACGACCCGGTGCCGGAGGTGCAGCGTGCCATCAAGCGCGCGTTTGAGGACTGGTGGCGCTCCCACCGCGAGGGGTGGGAGCTGGAGCACAAGCCCCGCTTCGCCGCCGCTGGGGTTCAAATTGATGCCATGCTGCCGCTGCTGACCGCCCCCGCGTACCTCGTCTGAGAAACAGCGGGGCCACCGCCAGGCAAAAACAAAAAAAAAGGTGGGAGAGGGCGTCACACGTGCACGAGTGTGCCCCTCTCTTCCTCTTTGGGGAGCGGGGAGGCGCAAAAGAACAACCTCGACAAATAAATAAATAAATAAATAATAACGCAGAACAAAAAGAAAACAACAACAAACAAACCGCAAACAGCACCAAACAGGGGGGGGGAAAAAAAACGTGAAGAGGTGTCAAAGGCGCATGCACATACGCAAACAAAAAAAAACGAACACGAAAACAAAACACACACGCACAATGAAACTAAAGTAGAAATAATATGACGCCAAAAGCAAAATAAAGGCGGAGTACTCCGCAGCTTGATAGCCACGGGCACAAATACGTAAGTATTTGATGTGAACGCCCTTTTGTTTGTTTGTTTCTCCCACCCAGTATACGTTGTGAATAGGAGTTTGCATGGAGGTAGAATGGGCAGGAAGGGTGTAGAGCCCGCGGAAGCGAGGGAAATGAAGTGGAATACACCCTCATTGATGAACAGTTGACGAATAACGCAACACACCCTTTGAACCTTCTTGGAAGCTACCATATTTTCTTCTGCCCGTATCGACACTTGCATCACACAATGGAAGACGCATGTCCCGTTGAAAAAGAAAGAAAAATAAGGGAGGGAGATGAAAAGTAAATAAATCGCGGTCACCACATGGATAAGAGCGCTGTCAATTAATGCTTAAAAAAACTTAGGGGCCTTCTTGAAGCACAAACACAGATGCACGCATAAATGCATTCATGGACGGAGGGAGACGCGCCAACGTCTCTGTGTTTGTATGTGTATTTTTTGTTTGTTTGTTTGTATGGTAGTTGCCGTTGCTGTGCTGTTGACCCTCATCTTCACCACCCCCCTTCCACTTCGGCGATGTTGTTGTGCCTTTTGTCTCTTCTCTGTTTCTTTGCGTCTCTTCCTGCGCAGAAGCATCGGAATTCAAGGTGGGCTTGGTCTTGGATTCCTGCCTTCCTCCCACCTCTGGTATTTAGCATACTGCGTGTGATCCTCACCTTGCCCCGTGTCGCGTTATCGGTCTGTAAGGGATAACCGGAAATCAAAACTGAGCGAAACCAAATTTGGAGAGAGAGTGCGTTCTGAGAGGAGATGGTGAGGATGAACGCGGGCCTGGAGGTGAAGACAGAGCAAGGCGAGTCGGAGGGGGTGGCCGGGACTGCCACCGCTTCCACAGCGTTGGAGCCATTGCCATTGTCGTCAGCCCTTCTTCGAGATGTGGAACAACTTCTGAGTGCCGCCAGGGCGATTACGCCCTTTCTCACTGAGACAACGGAGCAGCTGCAACCCATGCGGGCCGCACTAACGACGGTGATGGGTAACCTGCGTATATGTCGTCATTGCATACGGAGGAAGAATGCGCCCAGTATTGTCCCTCGTCTTTTGATTGCTGGCCCCGCACAGACAGGGAAAAGCGCCATAGTGGATTTTGTTCTTCAGCACCTCATGCAGACGACGTTGGACACTGGAGCTGCGACTACCATTTCACGTGAGGCGTCTACTGTGGTTCTTAAAGACGAGGAGTGCAACATGAGCTTGGATTCAATGAGGAAGAGATCACATTCGCTGCTGGTGCGGCCTCATTCATCCACAGTTGGAAACCACAACATGGATCCCAAGTGTAATTACGGTGCCTCCCATGCTAAGGCAGGAGGGATGCTGTGCAGAAAGCCCAGTGGGGTGAATGGCGTTGAAGAATGCGATGAAACAGAGGGTATTCTTTGTTCATCAGAATCCGTGACAAGTGTAGTTAATATTGTGGGTCGCGGAAACAGGCTAGGCTCAACTCATAATCTGGACTATGGTCTACAGCAAGACGCGACCGATTCATCCTCTCTCAACGATCGTGCACGTCGGAGGCATTCACATGGGGATGAGGGACGAAGAAGTATTCCATTGTTAAAGTTTGTGGAGATATCACCGCTTCCTGATGTATATTTGCCACATTCTATGACGAGTGACGTTGCGTCGATTTGTATAGATACAACGCCTTCGTCTTGTGTAGTGGTGGTCTCTGGTGGGCTTGAGACTACCATTGTTGATCGTATGCGCAGTAGCCAATCTGGCGTGATCAGGAATTGGCTACGAGGGGGGCAAAAGGAGACGCACCGTCCAAATGATGGGGTTCATGCACTGCCGTCGCATAGTGGTGCTTGTGGTGGTCAGCGGACAGCGACGGCGTCTGAGGGCGTAGAACAGGCTGCTGTGTATATAGAGCCATGCAGCCTGTGTCGGGCACCGTCTTGGCTGCTGCTGGAAACTGCGGGCAACATTGTGCGGAGCGAGGGGGATGGGGTGCCGTTTGTTCAGCTACCTGACTCCCTGTGCGCTGAGGCGATTTTTTTCACTCTCCCATGTGAGGTGGTTGGCACGTATCGCATGGCGACTGTCATGAATAAACTCTTTGACCCCTTTGTGGTCCCCACCGAGGATGACGCGTGCGACGGCACCATAGGTGGTGAGCGTGTCTTAATCCTGGCAGAACAGCAGCAGCAGCAGCAGTGCCGGCGTCCGCGGAATAAGGCAAATTGTGTTCACGATGAGGATGACAGAGAAGCTCTTTGTCAGCTTATTTCAGACATGGCATTTTATATACTAACCTTCTCTGACGCCATCATTGCACGTTCCGAGGGTGTGCTCACGACAGACAAGCAGCTAGCCAATCGCCCACCGCCGATGGCGGGGAGTCTTCCGGAGCTTATTGTATTGTTTCAGAATGAAATGCGTCGAATCTTCGGCGTTCATGTAAATAGTTGGCAGGTGGTCCCTTTTAGTGGGCCCATGAGTCGCGTCACAAGTGCTGCAATTAGGGCGATTTACGAGAAACGCTTCACGGGGGTAGAATCATTGGGCGCCGATGAGACGCTCCCATCAGACTCCTCCGCGTTTTCGCAGCTGCTTCCAGTGGATTCCACTGTCTCATTTCCAGCACCACCGGTTGCAGGGAAGACGGAACTGAACCTGCAGCTGGCAATAGCTGAATATTGTGATGTAGTGTATGGTGAGCGGTTCAAGCAGCGCCAACACCGTTTTTCACCGGATCAGCTGGAGGAACTTGTTTGGCAACACGCCTTAAGTGACATGTGGCAGTTGTCAGGGGCACGCCAGCTTCTCCACACGGTAAAGTGCTTTGAGTGGAATTCTCTTCATCACATCGTGTCTCACATCGCGTTCTCTCTCGTGATTTTCAGCAGGCAGCTGCAGTCATTGCTCCCAAAGGTGCAGGAGTGCCTTTGGATGCAAAAGAAACATCTTCAGAACGAGTTGAAACGACGAAAGCGAGAGAATTTTATGGCAAACATGGCACTTCGGCGACTGAAGGAGATGCACATTCCCGGGCAGATGATCCAAGGTGTTTTGTATATGATAGAAGAACATTTTGAAGAAGTTGTCATTCGCTTCTGGTGGACGTTGTTGACGCTGCTGGACGAAGAGAATGTACGCTTTGGGGTTTACCGCCGGGGCGGGGCGAAAATGTTGTCTGATTCTTGTCGTCACCCGTTGCTGACGCCATCGGATTTGTCTGTGGCGGCGCGGAAGCGACTGTGCAAGCTGTACCGTCGATTTCTTGAGGTGCACATGACCCAAGGTTATGAAACTCAAATGTCACATCTTCAGTCCATCATTGAAGAGGCGTGTAGACAGACCAGCAACCCCACACTCTGTGGTGGCCAAAGAGAATTGAGTGATGCAGAGGCGGTCCATGGGCTCTCCCCCCGCACTGCGTCTGTACTGCCCCCCGACTTGGTGCACCTTGTAGAGGATGCCAGGCACCACATACCTTTTGTTGCAAAGAATGCGCGAGGGTTGAAGCGTACGATGCAGAAGGAGCTTTCTCTACTTGTTGCTCGTCTCAACACGGAGGTGATTAATTACTTCATGGCGGAGCTGGCAAATGCGATGCACGGATTTGATAAGCTGTGTGAAATGCAGCTAGAAGTCTCAAAGGAGACAATGCTGCAGCTGGTGACTGCGGTGAACCCTAGACAGACGTTTGACGCCATTGAGCTAAAATTGCTGCGTTCATTGCTGAGTAAAATTCAACGTTTTACCCTTCTTGAGCTGCGCCCAGACCAGGAACTCGAGGCGTTTGTCACGGGACTACGGAGTGCGCTGTGCCAGGACCAGGTGAAAATGTACGTCAAGCTGCTGAATGGGGGCTGGAACGGGCAGTGCACGGATTGTGCGGCAAACACCTTGGCGTATCTCGCGAAGTCGGAGGAGTGCGACACTCAGCGGCAGCAGCAGCCCCCGGACCGCGTTATGCTGCGAAATTCCAGTTTTTTTCACCAGTTACGGGGGTACCGCGATATCGCCTGGGCCCCGATGGAGATGACCGAACTGACGCTGCCGTCACCAAACCGGGTACGCAAGTCGACACGTGTTGGGCTCAAACATCATTCGTCGATGGATGACGCTGCAGGAACGACAGTGGCAAATCCCTTGGTAGAGGCGTGCACGGTGCCTTTGAGGGAGCCTCCAAACGAGGACGACAAGGTCCCACTGCATGTCTGCAATGACGTTGTTGCCTCCACGAGCAACCCGATCTGGTTTTTTCTTGTCGTATGGCAGGAGGTGTTTTCTGTGATGACATTTCGTCCCTGGATGCTGTTACACAATGTACGTTATGCCACTCTACTAAACAAAATTACACTCATTTTTCTGAAGGGGCAAGGTCGGCTGGAGGCGATGGTGAAGGAAGAGAGTGACAAAGCTGAGGCGAAGCTGCGGAGTCTGAGTCAAGAAAAGACTCGACTGAGGGAAGAGTTGCCGTCCCTGCTGCAGCACCTCAGCACCACCGCCGAAGGTGTGGCTCACGAGATGAAGTCATTTAATGCAGAGACCTTTCGAAGCCTCTCCATGTGAGATTTCTTGTTTTTTTTTTTGTTTGTGTGTGTGTGTGTCTGTGTGTGTGTGTGTGCATAGTACGGAGCAGTGGAGTCTAGCGCCATGTATTGTGTGATACACACATGTGGATGTGTGTGACGGCGATGGCTCTTCTTTTCTTGTTTCTTGTGGAGCAACACGCATGTGCTTTGGATCTATCCATGTAAACTCTTGACGTGCATCAACCCACACACGCACAGACACGGACATCGGCATTTATATGTAGCATCTGTGAAGTGGTGAGGAGTGATCTGCTATGGGCAGTGCTTGCGGCGTGCTAATTATGTCACGTATACCTTGTTATCGAGGTGCTTTTTTTTGACTTTTTTTTTATGTTTACTCCCCTGAGAACTTGCGACCATGTTTGCGATGAAGGAAGTTGATTCATTACACAACTCAAGTGAAGCTCTCCTCACGCTGTTTTGCTTCACACGTAGTTGTCAAGAGTCGCACACTTGCTCACACTTCTTTTTTTTTTGTATGTGTGTGTGCGTGTGTAAACGTTTTCTTTTTTCTTTGTTTACTTTGTTTGCTCTGTGATGTGATGTCTGCTGCGTCTTCTGCCGCCTCCTTTTGCCTTCACGTGCCGAGTTCAATCTTTTTCTCTACTATCACTGTGAAGAAGCACAAACAGGGGTGAGGGTGGGGGAAGCAACGGTGCAGGGGGGAGAGCTGGGGCGTGGAGGCGCGTGGAAACTGCACACTCACATACTTACACTGGGAGCAGTGAAGGAGGAAAAGGCAAATAACATCAACAACGATATATACATATATATATATATACACACACACAGACACATAGGGGTGGGTGGGGGGTGAACAATGGCGGACGCGGCGGCGGCATCCACCGTTCGTGATTACAAGGCACTGTTTAGCGCGGCAATGCCACCCGTCCTTCGCAGTCACACCGGAATGTCGTCCGCGTTACTGAAGCCGATGCCAACAACACCAGAAACGGGATCGTCTAGCGGCCTTGTGTGTTCGACGTATTGCCTCGGCGACTTGGATGGGTGTGGTCTGGCGGTGGGGAGGCCGCTGCTTGGTGGCGGTTCTTGCGCGACGCTGCATACGAGGCAGATGAGTGCAGGTTTGCTCCGCCGAGAGATTTTTCTCCGCGGCGAATTTGATCGTCTGCGCCATGCTGAGGAGGAACGCATGCGTTGGGACCACCAACGTGAGCGCGAGGCGAGGCTTACGGAGGAGCGGCAGCGGATGCTTGAGACCGCAAAGGCAATAGAGCTTGAGCGTGTGAAGCGCACGGAGGAGCAGCAGCAGCGCATCTTGGTGCAGGAACGGGAGCTGGAGGAGTGGAAAAACGAGCGGGCAAAGGAGGTGGAGGAGCAGCGGCGTCGCCGCATGGAGGAGGAAGAACGGTTGCGTGCGCGCCAACACGAGCGGGATATGCTGCTGCTGCGAGAGGAGGCGGAAGTGCGGCTTCAAACGCGGAAATCGTTGGATGACCATAAACAGTCAATTGAGAGTGCTGTGAAGAGCGCCGCGGAGTTGATGCTGGCACGGCTTTGGAAGGAGTTCAAGGAGGTGGAGGTTCAGTGGGTGACGCGCTTTGAACACCTGCAGCTGGAGCTCAACAGTGGGACAGCCGCGCTGCGCCATGACATTGAATGCGAGCGTAAGTTTGTCACCGGTGGTGAGGCACAACTCGCAGAGACGCGGGCGCAACTAGGTAAACTGCTCGAGCAGCTAGAGGAGCTGCGGCGGCAGAAGGACATTGATGCACACAACCGGGCAACGGAGACATCGCTGACAGAAATACACCAAAAAACCATTGAACGGCTGCAGCGCGCGTTTGAGGAGGATAAGCAAAGCACCAAACAGTGGTTCATGGAGGAGCAGCAGCGCACAAAGGACTCTCACGAACGCGCCCTCCTTGAGATGGAGGAAAACCATCGGGGCCAGCTTCGTCGCTTGGAGGCAACCCTGGATGAGTCAAAGCGCCAGCTGCGTGAGATGGAGGCGGAGGTGCAGCAGTACAAGGTGAAGCTAGCTACGGCGGCCCTGAAACCGTCCTCAGCTGCCGCAGATGAGGTGCGACTACGAGAAGAGTTGCGGGCAGTGCGCAAACAGCTAAATGAGGCGGTAGATGCAAGGCAGCGTGCTGAGCGGCAGTCGCACGAATTAGAACGTGAGTGCGATGATGGTCGCAATGCCCTGCAGGCGCTGCAGCTGGATATGGATACTGAGACGGCGCGACATGAAGTGGAGCTTCGATTACTACGCGAAGAGAGCGAGAAACTCATGAACGAGCTTACCCGTGCAAGGGCGGCGCATGCGGAGGAACTGCAGGAGCTTCGTAAGAAGCAACGCTCTAGCGAGAGCGCCGTCTCACGTGACGCGGCGAAGGAGGTGGATGCGACAATCCGGCGAATGACTGAGCGCCACGAAGAGGCGAGGCGCGCACTAGAGGCGGAGAAGGCTCAGCTGATGCAAAAGTTACGAGAGGCGGAGCAGCGACATGAAGACTCACAACGGCGTCAAGAGCTCGAGCTGGACGAATTGAAGGGTGCACGGCGCGACAGCGAGCGACTTAAACAACAGCTTGACGAGAAGGATCGTGTTGTGACCGAGCAGCAGAAGACGATTGAGGAACTCAAGCGGAAGGACGTTTCAGTTGCTGATGTGACTGCACAAAATCGTAAAATGCAACAGGAATTGGAGCAGCTGCGCCGCGACCACGAGGCCGCAACGCGTGTCAAGGACAAGGAACTTCACGATTTGCGTCGCGACGCCTCAGATGCACGGCGTCGTAATGTTGCCCTGCAGGATGAGTTGACGGCTGCGCAGCGAACACGGGGCGAGGTGGAGGTACAGATGAGGCGTCTCGTGGACGAGGCGTCCTTGAAGGAAAAACAACTTCGCCGTGAAGCGGAGGAGTCCACGCAAACCGCGCAGTCGTGGAAGGATCGCTACACCCAGCTACAAACACACTCTGCGTCGTCGGCACCAAAGATGCAGACTTTGTTGAACGAAAAGGAAACTGAGTTGGCTCTGCTTCGTGACACGATAGATGCCCTGAAAAGGGACAGAGACACGCTGGAGAAAAGGGTACAAGAGCTGCAGACGCATTCCATCACTAGAGAGCAAGAGATACTGGACCAGGCGACTACAGTGAAGGGGCTAAATGCTGAGGTTGCTGCGTTGCGGGAGCAACTTTCCGCGACGCTGCGTTCAACGAAGGAGGTGTCAGCGCGTTACCCACTCCAGCCGATGGAGCACTCTCCCTTCCCCAGAGCCATCGACACGGATACGTCCGCCGGCGCGCGCCTCGCACAGCCAACATCGACGGTGGAAGCTTGTAACAGCGGAAACCTTAGATTTGCTTCCACTGGACCACCGCCTGTTTCACAAACAACGCGCTCAGCTTCCGATTTTTCGAGTGTGTTCTCAGCGCCCGCTGAGTCTACAGTCCTGAGAGGAACCTCGGTAGGAAGCCCATCGCAGCTTCTCGCTGCGGATATATCTTCAACACCACGCTCCTCTACCGTGGTGCTCCCGGCGCGCCCTCCTGAAGGACTCACTTCTTCTGCAGGGTGTCCCTCTTCTTCCTTGACACGAGGATCGCTTCCAGGAATGCCGTCTACAGGGGCAGGAGTACTGAACGTGGGAGCACATGCATCTGCGCCTAGTTCATCACCCTCATCTCCACAAGTTAGCAATTTTGCTGCTATTTCGCAGTCGTCTTCACTCACGGTACCGGTGCCCTCGGCGACTTCGACGGTGACAACAGTTTCTCTTGCTCAGGCAGTCGTGCCTGTGCCAGTTCCTGTACAAGTGCCTGCAAATGCCGCTTCTTTGGTTTCTTCCGGAGGGACTTCCGCGATACCTGTGCCGGTGCCGCTCCCCATACCAAACCCTGCAGCGGGGGCTTCAAGCCTGCAGGTGGTTCCACGAACATCTGCCGCCATACCTGTGCCTATACCTGTGCCAACTGCTTCAATGGCCACAAGTACCTTTTCAGGCAATTAGCGGCGGCCATAGGGGATGGGTTACAAAAAATTGGAAATAACTTGCTGTGATATTGCTGAGGTTATGCTATATTATTATTATTTTCTATTGCTCTCTCTCTGGATGTTGTTGTTTTTGTGGCCTTGTGTATAGAATCTATGACGTTTTCTACTGCGCCTGTGCTGATGTGTGGGTATTCACACGTATTAACGCATAGTTGACACCCCTGTTTTTTTTTCCTTTTTTTTTATCTATCTGTCTGCTGCTTCAGCTCTCTTTTTTATGGCCCCCCCCCCGGAAGTAAACAAAACGAATCAAACGACAAGGAAGCTTCACTGCTTTTTCACCATGTTTTTTTTCTTTTGCTTTTTCTTTACTTTTGTATGAATGCAGCGAAGGAAGTCATGAAACGGAAGCGAACGGACGGGGCTGTCCAAGGTGACAATGACGGCGACGACGAAGATGCGCCCTTCCTAACCCAATTTTGTTTGCCCCTCGACACCGTTGCGGCCGCTCCACAACGACAGCCGCCGAAGCAAAAAAGACAACGACAAAAGGCTATTGCCGGCCCTACGCGGGCGACGCCCACGACGCACACAACATCCTTTCCTGATTTGGCTGACGCTTCCACGGGGGAGAACGAAGAAGGGGGAACGAAAGAATATCTCTTCGACAAGTCGGTGAGGACCGCAATGAGGCCGTCAGTGACAACACAGTTTAAGATGACGTGGTGCTGGCCTGCATCTCCGATGGATCCATCAGAAGTGGTGTGTGAAGCGGATCCCAGAAGCGTTGGACCCGCCTTTGTTGTTGAGCTCCGCGGTGACCCGCATCTTCGGGAGGAAAACCGCCGGGTGGCTGCCGTGGTGAACTGCGGTGAGCGATTTTTGCTTCCACCCTTGTCAAGATCGCGTGAGGGCAACACTAGACAGGGCGCAGATGTTTTTTGGCGTGCACCTCAAAAGCCGTACCAGGATGCACCACCGCCGTATGCGGAACTTCTCTTTGGAACTGTGCAGGAGCTTGAACATGCCTCAAATATCGTTCAGGGTTTTCCTTCCGCTGTTGATTTACAAGCCGTTGCGGTGGCAGAGGGTGATAAGGGGGTTGCGCAACAGGATGAACTGAACTCATTTGGACGATTGCGAAGCTACTTCTTTCGTTCCTTGCCGTACCGTACTTTATGGCTGTATCAGTTTTCTGAGCGTCTTATTATATCTATGCCGTATGAAGAGCGCCTGCTTTCATTAAATTTAGGTCGCAGCACGCACACCATCCAAATATCTTCGCGGTTATCAACGAAATCTATCGAATGCGTTAATTCATTTCGTCTGCCTTCATGTGTGATTCCACTAGATATCAGTGAAGTCTATGACAGGCCTTTCGTAGCTGTCGGAACCATGTGCCATGGGGTTCTTATTGTTCTGCTTGAAAACGGAGCCTGTGCGAGCGTCGTACATCGTGTGCCGCTTTTGGGGCTTTCCACATCAATGTTTCCGGTGGCACACGTCTGCGCCGTGTTTCCGCCTCGGCGCTGCGACGATGACGAGAGCAGCACGCTGGGAGTATGGGGGCTCAAGTCCGCCCTTCTCTCACAGTCATTGGAGGGATGCATTCTGTGCGCCTCACCGTACGAAAACCGCACAGTCGTAGTGAAGTGCACCTCCGCTGGTGGGGATGGTTGCGGGTTTGAGTCGCCTCCGCCTACGAGAACCGTAGCGGGATTCCTCTGTTCAACGCCGTACTCCGCTCCGGCGTTTGGCCCCGTGGTTGCCACCTTGGACGGTAAACTGATGCACTTTGTGGTGGAGGACACGGGGTTGGCAGAGACAGACGGGGATGCCGCGACGTCTTCAAGCAAAGATCGTCGACAGCACTACGGCGCCTTTGACGCCGTGCGTCCGGAGGTCGTCTACGATAACGCCACGCGTACACTACTGGGCGTGACGCCAAACCACTTCTGTGAGGGGGGGCCAGTGCGACAGAAGGTGTCACACTCGCGGTATCAACCAAGCTTTGCCCGTCACTGGCTCTGTTTGACCACTGTTGCACACGAAGTAATTCTGCTGGACCGAAAAGTGACAAACTACGCGAAGCATAGCGCTATCACTCTTCAAGTTCCGACACCACCCCTTTCCACGGCTACTGCTGCTGCTGCTTCTCAGAGTTGCTTAAAGAAAGCGCCAAGGGGCAAACGGAAAGAAGGGCCTTTACCCACCGACGATGGAATTCAAGAAAGTTCCAAGAGTGATACGGTGTATCCTGCTGCACCAGAGGACGGTATCAGCGGCATTTCGTGGCTGCGGGTGAGTGACGGTATGCTGCAAGTTGTCGTGGCGCACCACAAGAATTGGATAACAGTGGTTACATGGAGCGTTTAGAAGATCAACCTATCCTCAAAATTAAGTTTTTTTTTTTTTTTCTGTCTCTTTTCCTCCTTGTGGCTTTGCGTCCTCCCCTTCAGATGGAGAAATATATATATATATATATATCCTTTTTGAAGGGTTCAATAGCTTTGGCTTCCGAGGGTTTGTCACAATCCATTTAACTCCTTTTGTTGTCCTCTTGTTCTCTCTCTCTCTCTCTCTCACACTTTTTCTCTTTTTTTTTGAAATGATGTTGTGAATGACTCAGATTATATTTTCGTGGTACGTGTTTAAAGAAAGAGTCACCCCAAGGTAATTATGGAAGGATTCTACGGTGTTGAAGTGGCGGCTGGAAAGCAGGTGGGCCTCAAAATCCCCGAGGAGCACGCCCTTCGTCTGACTCAGCTCGCCCTCCCCGCCAACGCAAGTGCCGCGATTTCTCTGATAGTTTCCTTCCAAGGGAAGCAGTTCACCATCGCCACGCTTGACCCCAAGAAGAACGTCTTCCAGATGAATACAGACCTCGTCTTTACGGAGCCCACGACGCTGACCGCGACAGGTGCAGGCTGCGTGCACGTGACTGGCTACGTCCAGCCTGTCGGCGATGATCTGGACAGCTTCGCCGGCCACGACTTCGATGACGATGACGATGATGACGAGGAGGATATGGTGCCGAAGAAGAGGAACGGCACGGCTGCTGCCCACACCGACGACGAAGAAGAAGAAGAAGAAGATGAAGAGGGCGACATGCATGATGACGAGGAAGACGACGAGGAGGATGACGAGGAAGGCGACATGCATGATGACGAGGAAGATGACGAGGAAGACGACGAGGAGGATGACGAGGAAGGCGACATGCATGATGACGAGGAAGATGACGAGGAAGATGACGAGGAGGACGAGGAGGAAGGAGAGCAGCCAAGAAAGGTGCAGCGCACTGAACAGGGTGGGTTCCGTGGTGGCAACCGTGGCGGTTTCCATGGTGGTCGCGGTGGTGATCGTGGCGGCTTCCGTGGTGGTCGCGGTGGTGATCGTGGCGGCTTCCGTGGTGGTCGCGGTGGTGATCGTGGCGGCTTCCGTGGTGGTCGCGGCGGTGATCGTGGCGGCTTCCGTGGTGGTCGTGGCGGTGATCGTGGCGGCTTCCGTGGTGGTCGTGGCGGTGATCGTGGCGGCTTCCGTGGCGGTACGCGGTGGTGATCGTGGCGGCTTCCGTGGTGGTCGCGGCGGTGATCGTGGCGGCTTCCGTGGCGGACGCGGCGGCAACCGTGGCCGGTATTAACCCTGGGCTTTTTCTGCCACGCAGCGCGTGGAAGGAGAGGTGGATCGTTGGAATGAGTAGAAAGAAAATACGGTGTCCTGTACTCTTACGTAGGTGCCGCGCTGGGAAGCAAGAATCACGGTCTTGTTAGGTTCCGTCGTCTGGGGGAATGAAGGAGGATCGTTTAATGCTGTGAACCATGTCTCCAGCGCGCAAGTGAAGGTGATGGTAGTGCGGCGGGCGTCGGAGTTCATGCTACGGCTTTGTGGGTGAAAGGGACGGGAGGAGCGGCAAGGGAACATGAAAGAGCTACTAGGAGATACGGTGAGCACGTAGGTATTCTTGTTTTTTTTTTTCTTTTCTTGTATCACCCCTTCCTTGTAACTCAGTTTAAGAAGTCGGTGTGAGGACTTCTAAGATAAGCAGCATAATAAGATTGTAAGAATAAATAAAAAAACTAAGTAAAAAAAAAATAAGTAGGAAAAAAAAATAAGTAAAATTAAGGTTGCAAAATGAGGCATTTGAAGAAAGATAAACTAATGCTCCCTTCCCTCCGCAGAGAGGGAGACCATGAGGCCTCCACCGGGGCTTTTGGTCTCTCGCTTTGTGTGTTGTGTTGGGATATGATACGAACAGAAACGGATAAGTCTCGCCTGTCTGGTTCTGCGTGCGGCCTGTTGCCATGATTGTTACTTTTTTTTGTTTTTGTTCCTACTGCATCCCCTCCAGATGTTTTATCTGCCATTCTCACATTTTTCTTTCTTGTTGCTACCAGCACTAAGCGATAACGGCGGCCACAAGGGCGCGGCCACTATTGAGGAAACAAAACGTTGTAGGTGTCATGCCGGTTATCAGCGGCCCTTCGATAGATGGAGCGCGCCGTTGTAAGCACACACACATGTAGTTTTAAGCATTGTTTGCGTGACGCGGGATGTGGGAGGTGGATAGGCACCCCGCTGCACCTCTTTTTCTCGCTGCGAGTATATATATAATATTGTTGATAAGGGCGCCAGGACGGAATCGTGCGTGGATCGAAGGTGGCTTTGCTGTTGACGTGCTGCGTGTCCTCGTTGGTTGACTGTTGCTATGACGTACCTCTTCTCTTCCTGCGGTCCTTTCCTATGGTGGCGGCGGGGGGTCAAAGGGACAGGGAGGCTTTGCATCCCTCCCAGTACGCCGTTACGAGGAGCCTCTGCGTGCACGTGACTGTGCCGTTGCTTTTTGCATTCTTCACACAAAAACTTTCAAAAGGACAAAAAGAATAATAATAATTTTTTAATTTTCTCTTTTTCTTTTTTCTTCCCTTTTCCGTCCTTGGATGATGTCGTGTGCCAGGGCACAGGTTAATTTCAGGCAAGATAAGCAAATCAAGCAAGAAAAAAGGGCGGACGCAAGCAGCTGCTGGTGCAAGCGAACAGTAAGGCAACAAAAACAACATCGAAGGAATGCAGGAATTTCATGCCTTTGAGGTGCTGCCCGGCAAGGACTACACCCTGACACTACCGCCTCTTCACGGTTTCCATCTCTCCGTTGTGTCCATCCCGCATGCCGGTAAGGGACGCAGCACACTGTACGCGACAGTTGACGGCAAGTCATACGCCATTGCGACTCTCGATGCGTCTCAGAATATCCTTCAGAACGCGACCGACCTCATCTTTAATGAGGCGCAGAAGATGGTGTTTCGCGTCAAAGGGAACACACCATTGCATTGCTGCGGCTACCGGCAGGAGCTTGATACCCACCTTCAAGACGCTGGGGACAGTGACGAAGAAGACGAGGATGAGGAAGATGCAAACGATCTGCCTGTGAGCGACGAGGAGGCAGAGATGGGGGCACAGGACCCAACACAGGCACCTCTGAACGGTCACAACAACGAGGAGAGTGAAGACGATGACAGTTATGACGATGAGGAGGGAGAGGTGAATGGGGGACTGAACGCAGCTGGCAATGAAGATGAAGACGAAGACGAAGACGAAGACGATGAGGAAATTGATGATGAGGAAATTGATGATGAGGAAATTGATGATGACGATGAAGAGGGCGACGAGGAGATAGAAGACGAGGACAAGGAGGAAGAGCAGCCGGTGAAACGTGCCAAGACAGAAGAAAATGGTCAGGCTCAAAGGAGCTCGCAGCAGGTGCAGAGCCCTCAAGGCCGCCCCAGCAATCAGCAGAAGCAGGCACAGAGCCCTCAAGGTCGCCCAGCAATCAGCAGAAGCAGGCACAGAGCCCTCAAGGTCGCCCAGCAATCAGCAGAANCAGCACAG